TGCATGTCATCAAGTAATTCCTTTTTTTTTTTTTTATCTTTTTCTTTTTTCAATCTATCCAAATATTCTCTAATCTCCTTTTTTATATCATCTATAGCTTATGGGCATGCTTTTACATTCCCAAAAATTCCGGCTAAATGCTCTTTTTTTCAAAAAATACCACCCATATAAGTATTTCCACAGAGCAAGCATATCACACAATTTCTATCTTTCGGAATTTTTAGTTTAGTATATTTCCAAGCGGGATCCTTGTTACTAGAAGATTGGGAAGAAGACATTGCTCCAAAAATAAGTACAACAGTATTATTGTACAAGAAAGAATAAAAAGCTACCGACTCTGTGAAGTAGTGCTCGATTTCTTCACGGCATTTGAATTCCCCAATTTCTTATCACAAATTCACCTTAACATCCCCAAACCAATAATAAAAGACATCAAATGAACATCCAAGTATCAAACAACTGCCAAATCTTAGATGAAAAAAACATTTTCGCCAAATTTTTTTTTTCCTTCGATTTGATGCAAACAAAGCCACAAAAGTGGCTGGAAATCTTCGATTAGGGGATATAGTAACCCCCCAAACAGTTTTCCTAAACATTGGAACAAAAAAAAGACCATTTTGCCCCTCCCTAAGGGGCAAAATCGAAAAACACTTTTATGGAAACAGATGCGGTCTAATGCAAATGGTCCCTCCACCATACAACAAGCAGCCAAACATACGCAAATAGTTTTGTACAAGCTCTCCCTCAAAATAAGGACTTACTTGTGGGTTATTTTCTAAAGGGAAATTTTAGGCATTCACCAAAAGAATATTGGTTAAGAATAAAAATTCAATCTTTATTTTTTAAACGTCCTAAATGGGATATTTATCAGAGGGAGCTATTTATAGGCATCCACCTTAACATGTTTAAGAATAAATATTCAACCTTATTTTTTAAAGGTCCTAAATGGGATATTTATCAGAGGGATCTATTTATCTCTCATACTTTTGCACGCCTAATCTGTTTTTAAATTTTTTCTTTGTAATTTTATTAATTCCCCGAGCCAAAAAATCGAACCTCCCCTTAAGCATGACGTGGTACCCAAACCGGGCTTTATATATGTCGTTATATATTATTATAGATTATAAATATAAATTTTAAGCATCTTGTAACAAATGCCACCCTAACAAATATGCTTTAGAACCTATTATTAAATAGATTTGGAGAAATTAGCCAACTCATTCATACAAAAGAAAGTGATAGTATACTATGAGACCATTTATCTTTTTGAGTCACTATTAGCCATTTGATGTCAAAACTATATGGCTTGAAGTGGACACAAAGTTTGAGATTTTTTTTCTTTTTTGAATTTTGAATATAGTCAATGACACACTTACAACCACGAGATTTAAAAATTTGACAGACAAGATTAAATGTGACCTCTATGTTAAAAGTAAAACATCTCTTTGCATACATATCCCAAATTTTTTTTTCCTAAATTAATGAAAGTGCCCAACAATAGCAAGTGAGATAACACTTCTAAAAATGATAGAGGATAGATACCAGTGTCGTGTCCAACATGGACATACAACATACCCCAAAATTGACCGTCAATACATGATTGAGAGAAAGGAAAGGAGAATTTTAAGTGAAATCTAGGACCTGCATATTAAAATTTGTACAGAAGTTCAAGGTGTCTAAAATTCCTATTGTACCGACACATGCCCTTTGCTATTGATCCATACGTGTCTAGAATCTCCGACGAATGTGTCCAAAGTTCAAACTTCATAGATAACAATGATCAGGATTACCGCTCAACATTAGCCGAAATGCATACATGGATTTTTTTTTTGGAAAATATCTCTATAGACTCTATTTTCAACTTTCATTTCTTTTTAAATCCAAAATTTCAAAACCTATCTTCTAACCCCCCAAATAACTTTATCTATTTTTATTTCAACTTTTAACCCAAACAAATTAAAAAAGATATTTTTTTCCAACTCTCTCTCTCCTCACATGTTTCAATCTCTCTCCTCACATGTTTCTCTCTTTAGACTGTTCTTCCTCTCTCTTTTTACATCCCATTTCCTTTTTTTGACAGATATTCGTATACTTTATTAAAAGGCTAAACTAGTATTACATCATGAGAAACAGTTAAAGAAGAAAGGTTAACACCACCCTTGGCCATTGCATCAACAATGCCATTTGCATCACGATATACATGGAAGAAGGAAACCGATAAATTGGTAAATTGCATCTAAAATCTACAACCATAAGGGTCGTAGTTCCCAAAGAACTCTCTGTTCTTTCTTACACCACCTGATAATATTTTGAGAGTCCCCTTCCAAGATGCAAATTGTACCCAAATTCCCCAAAATGAAAATTTTCACACCCCTTAATAAAGCAGTAAGTTATGCGCAATTAGCCGTAGCTATTCCGATTGGTCCAGCATATGAAAAAAATTAGATTTCCACAACAATCATGAAGTACACCACCAATATCTGCTGGTCACGGATTGTCTAAAGAGCTACCATCAAAGTTAAGCTTAAAGCTAACTATGGGCGGAGCATGCCATAATCCTTTAGGCCTTCTGGAAACTAAACCTAAAGGAAAAAGGTTAGGCAGATTTATCATAACATCCACTTTAGAAATACACCATCCCTCCTTTGTCAACGAAAGAGAAGACCAAATAGAAAGCTTAATTAAATGAATAAGCTTATCAACCTGCAATGCCACATCTTCAAAGATCCTTCTGTTTCTTTCCTTCTAACTTTTCCAAAGTATCAAACATCTTGCTATCTTCCAAATTGTACTTCCTATCTTAGGGAGAGAAAGAATACCAAATTGCGCAATAATGCCAATAACATTATGGAGCAAAGTTAACAAAAATCCAACTTCACCGATTAACCAATGCCAAATCCTCAAGGTATATGAACAATGTATCAGTAGATGGTCAACAGATTCACCATCTGATTTGCATAGCAAACAAATATTAAGTAGAATCTTGCCCATTTTTTGCAAATTATCTATTGTTAAAATCTTATTCTACGCAGTTAACCAAATGAAAACTTGGAGTTTATGTGGTATCGGCCACTTCCAAAGTTGCACAATCTTAAGAGATGACCATCTCCATCAATCATAAAAAAATAGATTATATCAGGATTTAACAGATAATACCCCATCCCTTTCAATTTCCCATACCAAAATATCTTCTGCCTCATAAGCAATATAGACTTTATCCAACATTTCCATCAAAGCACACCACTGGGACAACAATACACTGTTCAGTCGTCTATACATAAGGGGTAAGTCCCGCGACACCAACTGTCATCTTCTCTCAATAGCATCACAAAATTTAAGATTTGGATTGGACACTACTCTAAAAAGATCAAGGAATACAGCCTTCAAAGGGTATTCTCCAAGCCATCGATGATGCCAAAATAAGATTTGATAACCCCCACCCACATTCCATCGAAAATATCCCGAGATCATATTCTTACAATTGGAAATTGCCCGTCACTTATAAGATACATCCTTGCCATTACCACCCAAGCCACATATTAAACCTATCCATTCCATATTTTGCCCGAAGCACTTGGTACCAGAGATGATCCTTCAAATTAAAGCTACGCCACCACCATTTACATAACAAAGCTTGATTGAACCTCATAATATTTCGAATTCCCAAACCACCTTCACGCTTGGGAATACATACTCCATGTCACCTTAATAAATGAAATTTCCTATTTTCTTCATTTGAGCCCCAAAAGAAGTCTCTCATCATCTTCTCAATTTTTTTTGCCACCGAAGGTGGAATATGAATGATCGACATCTGATACACAAGCAGATTCGCCAAGCAAGACGTTAGCAGTGTAACCCTTCCCCTCAGAAATTGATATTTATACTTCAATAAATCAAGCTTAACCTATATTCTCTCAATTACCCTATTCCACACCGCAATAGACAATTTTGAATATGAAATTGAAAGTCCCAAATAAGTAATAGGAAAAGAATCCACTTTACATCCCAACGCATTAGCCAAGTCATTTACCAAGGCCTCGCTACAATTAATTCCCACCATAGAAGACTTATGAAAATTAATTTTAAGGCCCAGGGTCACTTCACATATCTCCAAAAATCTCGCTACATTCCTCACTTGTGTAGGCTCAGCGTCAATAAAAATTAAGGTATCATCGACATATTGTAAGTGAGAAACAGTTATATTTGAATTTGCAATTTGGAAACCTTCAAAAGCACCCCTGTTCTCCATCCTATTAAGCATCGAACTAAAGCATTCAGCATAAATTGTGAATAGGAATGGAGAAAGGGGGTCACCTTGACGTAAGCCTCTAGCAGCACTAAAAAAGCTAATCGGGCTGCCTTTGAAAATTATTGAGAAATGTGTAGAAGATAAGCATCCAAAAATCCAGCTCCTCCATCGTGCTCCAAAACCCATATTTTTCATAATCTCCAAAAGAACACCCCATTGCACCCTATCGTAAGCCTTTTCCATATCAACTTTTAGCAAAATACCCACCCTTTTACTTACAACTCATAAGTGGATACATTCTTGAGCCACCAACACACTATCAGTAATTTGACGATCCTAAATAAAGTTTGTTTGTGTTGAAGAGATAATGAGATGAAGGACTTCCTTAAGTCGCTCCGCCAAGATCTTAGCAATGATCTTGTAAACACTAATGAGAAAACTTATTGGCCTAATATCTGAGAGCTCATTGATCACTGATTTTTTAGGTATCCATGCCAAAAATGTGGAATTGATGCCCTTAAAAATTTGACCTCTGATCATGAACTCTCGAACAACCGACAACAAATCATCTTTGATTATATTCCAAAATCTTTGGAAAAAAACTAAAGGAAAGCCATCCGGGCCTGACGCCTTATCACCATGAAGAGCAAAAACAACATGATGCAATTCCTAGATAGTGATTGCCCCCTCCAAAAAAACACTCCTCTCTTCATTCAGCATCCTAGAAGGGACATTCGGAAGGTTGGTGTCATCACCACCTCTTTAGTAAAGGCTTTATAAAATGGCTAATGACCCCCATTTCCATGGCAGCATTATCCTCATGGTCTAACCCAGGGATATTCAGACCCGAAATATCATTCTGTCTTCTTCTGGCACTAGCAATGGTATGGAAAAACTTAGTGTTTAGGTCACCTGCCTTCAACCATAAATTCATAGATATTTGTTTCCAATAAATTTCTTCAGATCTTCGCAAATCCTCCAACTCCTTCAGTTTAACCCCACGTTCCACTACCATCTGCTTAGTTAGAACTCCATATGACTGAGCATTAAGATCCAATAATTTAATATCAGCTAGAACCCCATCAATCTTACCCTTAAGATTGAATTTATTATCCTTTTTCCAACCAATCACTTTGTATTTGACGCTTATCAATTTTTTGTGCAATTGAAAATCCATAGAACCCACCTCCACAGAATTCAACCAGGTTTTCTTAATAAGCTCCACCACCTCTAAGTTATCTATCCAACTAACATCAAATCTAAAAGGTCTCGGCCCAGACATAAGTGACCCTATATCCAAAACAATGGGGAGGTGATCGGAGGACAACCTAGCCAACGCTTTGACAAAGGCTAGTGGAAAGACCTCCTGCCACTCTAAAGCTAACAAAAATCTGTCTAATTTAGATGTCGCTAAATTAGCAATGCTATTATTTGACCAAATAAATTGCGATCTAATAATGGGAGGATCCATAAGAGCATTGCTCTCAATGAAAGAATTAAAATTCCTCATGTAAGTGTTGATTGGGTACCCTGCAACGGACTCATGCGGCCATCTAATAAGATTGAAATCCCCCCCTATTACCACCGGGAAATGGAACAGACGGATCAACTCATTCGTCTCAAAAATAAAAGCAGATTTCAAAGAGGAGATATTAGGCCCATAAACATTCATGAAACCCCATGAGAACCCTGAAATAGGGCCATTGAAACCCAAAAATAAGCAATTGTTTTTCACAATAGTCTCAAAAGTTTGGACCAACAAAGGGTCCCACAAAACCCAAAGACCACTAGAGCTACCTACTGCATCAATCTCACAAAAACAGACTGCACCTGAGGCCCAAACTTCCATAGCCCCAAAGAGAGTAGGCCTTAGAAGTTTGATCTCCTGTAATGCCACAATTACTGGTTTATATTTAGTAACCAAAAACAGAACATCCTTTTTCCTTCTACTGTCCCCTAACCCCCTAACATTCCATGACAGAATATTCATAAATTAAGATGAAAAGAAAGAAGAGGAACTTAGTCCAGAAGGACCGCCCTCAAAACACACTGCTTCCAGCATCCTTCCGTCATTGGCCTCATCGATGTCAGCATCAGAAGAAGAAGGCAAATCAAGATCCACCACCACTACCACCGATACACGAAAAGCCATAGCATTCATCACCAAGTAGCCACCTTTCGGGACTCCGTGCGTCTCCAATCTAGTCGAAGATCGCTCTCCTATGTGAAATACCTTCTTACTCTTGCCAGACACCTCCCCTTTACCCTTCATGGTGGGCGTCGTCTATGGCACTAACTTCTCTGTAGGAGGCATAGGAGAGTCCACCTTGTTAATCTCCACTTTCATTGCTTCACGATGCTTCTTAATCTCTGCCAAAACCACTATAAGGGGCACATCTTCTATCCCCATATTCATCACCATTTTTTCCACCAAAGCTGATTCATTATCAACGTCACTGGGGAGATCAGGGGCCAGGCTCAAGAGGAAATCAGCACTTAACGGATGGGCCGTAGGAGAGAAAATACTGCCAATTCATCATGGACCAAAACCTCCTCCTGAAAAACCTCTTGGGAAGGAGCATTATTAACAACGAGCCCCTCTTGAATATCAGCAGCATTAATAGGAGGCTGAAAGTCCATCGAATTATTCTCGATAAGGACTTGGGGCTCATCAAGTTCTACCATTACAATGGCAAGAGGATCGATTAAAAGGGGGTCAAAACGAGAACGACTCCTCCTCAGTTGCCCCTTTGCTGCCACCAAACGGAATAGAAGAGGGTACATCTTTGAGTGAAGGAGGATAACTATCAGCAAACAGCACCACACTTTGCCCACTTTAGTTCTGTGCACCAGGAGTAAAACCAGCAAGAAGATAGCCCATGACCCCCCACCGCTTCCTCTTTCTTAAATAAAATTCTCAACCACCAGAAAGAGGTAAGTAGAGGAAGATAGAGAAAATGTAGCCACTTGTATGGTGCAGCCTTCCCCAAAATCTCGTTTGATAACAGTAGATTTCTCGGGAAGAAACCGCGCCACCAAAGATTTCTTTGTCAAACCATCAAAAGCTAAAATGTGTTGTGAATCAGCAGGACTATCAGGAGAATTCAAATCAACAAAATGTGCACGTAAGACATCATCCAAAATCTAGTCTTTCGGAATTGCAGTAACAGTTTCCAACAAAACCGCTTTATTTTTTGTCAAACCGCTAACACATTCCTTTTTCAACTCCTATCGCTTACTAATGAACTCCGAAAGTCCCGCAGACTCAACATGAAACCTTCCCACCAGGATCCATCGTTTTGAGAATTTGGGAATTATCTTATTTTGAAATTCAAAATTCCTAGAATTACGTCGGTATCTTCTAAAATGCTTCAAATTTTCGGGGATTCCAGTTCCGGCCGGCGAATTAATCTTCTCCTGCTCAATATGCTGAAAATCCTTAAAAATACCTCCATTACCCTTCACAAGCTCAGGATCGCAAAAAGATTTCTCAGAGCAACGAGAAATCGAAATCTCAAAATAGTCGTCACCAATAGTCAAGAAGACCTTCTCCGGAATAGGGCCACCTTTAGCTTTCACAATCTTAACTTTCATAGCTTTGCACACTGGACTCAGAAAGGAGTCTCAGTTTAGATCACTGTAAGTCCCAAAACCTCCCACAATCATCTTGATAATAGCCAAATTCCACGCATTGAGAGGGATTCCGCTAAGATCAATCCAAAGTGATTCGTTCCAAAGGAAGGAACCATGATCGGAAGGTTTCCATAAAGTTAAAGATAGCAAACTTCCCCGGATTCTACAAAAATGATTTTGGAGTGCTCTGCATATCTCAACCTTGGATCAAAGTTTAAACACCACTTTGTTTATCCCAATGATGTTAACATCAGGAGTATAGGAAAGGTTCCAACCCCTTTTCGCCTAGTCAGACAGACCAAAAAAACCAGAAATCGGAGGTGAAAAAGATCCAGATACAAAGAACTCCGATTTGATATCTAACTGCGCCCATTCCGTTTTCTCAATGAACATAGACACTACATCACCTTGAGAAAACACTGACATCATTCCACTGCATCGCTCAGTCTCCTCCTCCAGCTATAAGGATGCCCCTCAAAAATCCTGCAACCCATTTGTTTCCAGCTCAACAATGGTGGGGGTGATGCGGTGTATGGTGGGGCAGCAGGCTATGGTGCTATTGGTGGTCGTGGAGGTGGTGTATCGAGTGGGACTAGTGTTTTGGGAGGAAGTGCAGATGGTGTAGCTAATGGTGAGCAAGGTGGTGGAGGCTATATGGGAAGTGGATATGGTGATTCGAATGGGAATGTGGGGTTTTGGAAAGCTCAAGGCTATGGGTCCCTCAAGCCAATGGGCCTCCCAGTTCTCAGGTTGGGTATGGTGGTTATGGTGCGCAAACAAGGCAGGCTCAGCAACAGTGAGTGGAGGACGCTCGACACGTTCCAACCCTCAAGCTCTTCATAGCTCACAAAGCCATCTTTTGGCTTTACATCAATGAGAGGAAACAAAAAAACCAGCCTCCTCATCACGTCATAAATATCGCCGGATTTAGTCCCAAATTCATCGAAATTTCCCCCCATTTCCCCGGATTTTTTCCCTTAAATGCTTGAATGGCCCGAAATTTGGGTGGGAATTGCCAAAAAAATTAGCATTGCGGCCAAAGCCTTCCTCCCATTCTAAGTCGAAGAAAGAGGGGCAGGGTTCATGCGGTGGTCGTCGGAAATGAGCCGGTGATGGCTTCAAGTGGCCGAAGGTTTGCTCGAAAACACAATAAATTTTGGAGGGTTGAGAGAGAGGGGTTTCGGCTGTTGATAGGAGAGAGAAAAGAAATTTTGGAGTGTTGAGAGAGGGGTTTCGACGGTTGATAGGAGATAGAAAAGAGAATCATGTCAAGAGCACAGGGATTTAGAAAACAATAGAGAGCTAAGAGATATAATAAAATGAGTTTCAATGTAGTAAGATAGGTTTCGCAACTTTAGATCAATAGATAAATAAAAGTTGAAAATGGGATCTATGGCGATTTTTTTTTTTGGATAAGTAAAAACAAAAACGAGGCAAAATGGTAACGTCCGTGGGGATTTGAGCCCCTACCCTTTTGGTGAGAGTCATAGACCTCACTATGGAGTTCGGCAATACTGCCGCCAGGATCCCAAGCCTATCGTCCTAAAAGTAAATTAGTGAGGATTTCAGCCCCTACTTTTCGGTGAGAATGAAATCATAGACTTCATCATAAGGTGGTAGTTGGAGTAAAAGACTTCATCATAGGACTTGGTGATACTACCGCCAAAGCCCCAACCCATTCTCAAAGTGGTAAGTTAAGTAAGTGGGTTTCGCGCCCTATACAAATTTAGTTCGTTCTCAATCCGTCAAGTATCCATGAGCACACCAGACGCCAGCTCCAAGCTACTCAATATATCTAATGAAAATGATAAATTATCTGATGAATCAATTGCATACGCAAATATGTTGCAATAAAGCTTCCTGCAAGAACTAACTGTACATTTCATAGCAACTAAAAAGCAAAAACTCCAAACCCATCCAGATTCACTTTACGAAACTACCAAGCAAAGAAGAATGACAGCAAAAGAAAACACTCAGCAAAAAGGCGCAAACCTCGGAAAGCCTCAGATAAAGGCTAACCGACGGTACGTACATACACCACATAAAACATAAAACTCAAATACAGTATCTAAACCTAACTGGGAATCTGAGTGTCCTCTCTATTTCTCTCTCTCTATTCTTGCCAAAGCCTTTGACCCTCCTCCAAAATATTATCAAAGTTCCAGTCTCTAAACAAATCCCTTCTCACTGCATGGCTTCGAACAAGACGTGGGGCTCCTGTGAGGCCTTGGGTTTCACTAATCGGTGGTTGCGGAGCAACCTTTGATGTCATCATGGTGTTAGCCATGTCATGGGGAACATAAACCTTCTTGTTCCAACAGCTGACTAGGGCAGAGCATCGACCCCCATTCTCTGAGCTTGAAACAGAGTAGCTTCTAAATGACTGTGATGGACTGTCTACACTGTGGCAAACCAGACAGGCAAGACTCATGGCTCCGGGTTCTTACCTGCTTAGATGCCATCATGTACATATTAGTTGCATTGCACTTATTAAAGATTCGTATCATTCAAATAAAGCATAAGCAATGGCATGATGTAGTTGGATTATCATACAAATGAAACGACCATCAACTGGAATAAATATGAATCTGCAAATCTTCTCCAGTATGAAAAGTTTAGATTAAGGAGAACTTTTTAGGGTGACCTCTATATAATGTGCCCAACTTACACTATGGAATTAAGGCACACCTCTAGATTTTCCCGGAAGATGTAATTTCAGTGTCTGAAACCTTGTCTTGAAAATCCACATTCAACCCTAATTATCAAATTTAGAGTTGTAAAAAAGCTGTAGATCGAGCAGATCTATAAATACCTGAAAATAGACAATCTAGATAACTTGTTACAAGATGCACTATTTTTAGGACACGAAATTCTTTTTTTCTTTACATCTCGAGCTTGAGAATGGTCCATTGGAAGGTTTTTCAATGTCGATACACTCTTTTCTACTGGATTTTTGAGGTGCGCCTTAGTTCTAAAGTATAAGGTTGCAACCCTTATAAACCTTTTCCAACTTTTTAAGTTACTATGCTCTCCATTACTTAAACTACCATTAAGCTACCGCATCTCACTCAGATTTTTGCAATTATGACTAAAAGTTGAAGGTTCCCTCGCAAAACAAACTGTTACAAATCACTTTATATTGAAATTCGTTAAAGAGCCATCAGGTGTTTCTAGAAATAGCAACAAAGAACCAAAAGACCTACCTAGCTCTTGTTTGTAACACCATGAGCATATTTAAAGAAACTAGAACTTTACTCAGTTTAGTTTTGTTTCATCCATGCAACATACTCAAGGAATAGGAAACTTACAATGCAAACTTAGTAATAGAATAGGAAAAAACATTAAATATGAACCAGTCACCAGAATCCAAAACAATATCCACTTGCATGATCATTGAATTGAGGTTTGAATTTGGATATAAAAAGACTAGTTCAAGCTAATTACACAAAAATATAAGAGGAAACAATAAAGCTTGCATTAAATTGTCATCACCACAACCAAGCATTTTTGGCAAATTATGTTCTCATCAAGAAGTATACCATCACACACGCACCACTGACTCATGCAGGCTGGAAGTACAGTCATGATATCTTCACAAAAAATGAAATACCCGATAAGATTCAAGTTACATATATGGGAAATGCACCACATGACAATGCTTTTACATAAAGGCTTTATTTTTCCAGATAAGTTATGTTCAAGCCTTTTGGTAGAATACAGAACTGTGCAAATTCAAATCTCCTTGTTCGGCTTCTAATAAACTAAGGCTAATGCCTCAGTCAAAATCCAGTTAAGAGAAGTAATCTTGTAAATGGCACAGAGGGTCCAAACATGTCTGAATTACAATGTCCATTGTTGGGGGAGGTGGACATTGTTGACTCTATTTATTAAAGGTCTTCATGCCACATCAGGCTACTTCATCTTCTGCTTCACTCAATCTAATCATCTCACCCTTCTGAGAGTGCTCTTCAGAGCTATAAAAGAAATAACATAGAATGAACAAGAAAAGAGCAGACAGTCAAACACTTGCTCTTTTCTTTTTTTTTTCTTGAGAAAATAAAGGAGAGGGGCAGACGTCTAGATACGCACACATAGGTGCACATGGGTTTGTCTTATGTGCACCATTGACTCCACAATAACCAAGCATCTAAAATAAAAGAAAAGTTAGATATGATGCTTTGACTCCTCAAAATACTAATGCATATTCATGATGTCATTATAAAATTTGTTACAGAACTGTAACATGTTGATGAGGTCTGGCCAAGAATATGACCTGCACAATAGTGACTGCAAATAACTAATGCATAAAAGTATATTATATTGGCAGTACGAAGGATGGCAATACCTTGGTTCAAAGAACTGAGCCAAAAAAGAAAAAAGAAAAAAAAATTCATGTATAATCTACTAGATTAATCTCAATACCGTTCACTTGTTCATGCGAAGGAAGATTAGAAGCAATTTGTATGACACCAAGATTATCATGGAATACCGGGAAGTGTAGGGGAAATCAAGTAAATGCCAAGGTCCTGAGGAAAGAGCATAAAGAAAAGCAATGAAATCATTAACTTATAAGAAAAAATAAAAAATAAAAAATAATGTGAGACTTAGCCTTAGCATAGAAAGTAGAATTGTTTCGTGCTTTTTACCCTTGTGATATTCCAGTGTCCAAAATATAGTACAAAGAAATTAGTAAACAAACTCATGTCCCAGTAGTGAGTCAACTCACCTATTGGACAAAGGGTCCTGCATAGACTCAGGAAGAACAACCCAAGTCAATGTCAGATTTGAGCTATACAAGTGACGACTTTGAGCAAGTATGTCACTGTTCCCGAGTTGTGCCACCAGCCACTCATGGCACTAAGACAGCATTTAGAACAAGAAAATAGTTCCATAGGTAATGTGGTGCCAAGTACTCAAAATTTTTAGATTTAGTCAATCCTTTTGTGAGTACCTAAGCACATACTATGCCCACTGGGAAGTGTTCTGAATCGTAGTATGCTCCCTTAGCAAGTATACCTCCATAAATCCAGCACTGAATAGATGGTCCATACTCTCTATGGAGGACAGTTATAGTTTACTTCCCCTTGGTAACTGGGACCAAAGCGGAGCAGAGACCGTGGTATGGAGTATGGAACTATCCAAGAAGTCCCCTAATTTGGGATAGTTGCATAAAATATACAAAAAATAGTAATCTCAGACAAGGAATTTTAGAAGTAATATTCATAAATTTATGTTTTCTTATATACATTAAAAATATCAAGTAAATGGTCAAACCACCTTACAAAAAACTTTAAGAGTGGTTGAATCATCCATTTAACATTAGTATGGTTACATTTTAAGTTTTATTTCACTTACCCCTTTAAAAATGTGTTATAAATGATCAAATTGCCCCCGGTAAAGATTGGGAACCTTGAATAAGCAGAGGCAGTTCAATAAATTGGCCCACTTAAGTGGCCAAAGCCAAATGGCAATAATACAATGGTTCTCAGGGTTAAGGGTCTATAATAAACAACCAGGGGTATGATCATAATTTGGTAGTTTCGTATTACTAACTGTGAACAACTAGGGGTATTACCACCATTTAGCTCGGGCCAATTATGTGGGGCCAAATTACTAAAATGCCCTGCTTGTCACTGTACCCAATCCTGAACATGGACAATTTGGTCATTTTTTTAACATTTTTTTGAAGAGGTACCTTAGTGAAATGAAGCTAAAGAAGTAACCATTTGAATGCTAAATGAGATGATTCAACCACCATAAAGATTTTGTCAGGTGGTTTGACCATTTAATTGGTCTTTTTCATCATACGTAAATACTTAACAAAATCCAGAAAAAACCATCACAGAAGGTACAAATTGGTAGATATTCACTATATAAAAGAGATCAACTAAAATGAGAAAAGTTTACTAAGGTTCTATTTCATGATAAAAGAGTACCATGCCATAACATGGCACAATAGCTCAAAGAAAAACAAAACTATGATGCCTTAGTAGCGATTTGAGCAGAATCCACATGGATTTTCGACGTTCAAATATCTCTACTCGAGAAAAAGACCTAGGTTAGGTAACCCGAGCTGCCAACACCTAGAAGGTGCTCTACAAATAAGTAGCATAATCTAGAAAAATTGTGCAGAGATTAGAACAAATCTCGAACAAAAGAACCTAAAGGAGACACAGCCCCTCCTTAATAAAATTAGGAAAAACAGTCTCCGAGAGTGTTTCTGCAAAAGAACTGCAGATCTGTGCTCTAAGAGAGGAAGTGCCACTGAAGCAGAATCGGTTGGCAAGTAGGATAAATTGAGGATGCCTATGTCTTTTAGAAACTACTTCAGCATATCTTTCCTAGGGAGAAGGTTAACATTTGTAAACACCCCATAAAAACTGGCAAATTTCATAATTTTCCTACTATAGACAACCCTTAGGACCATACTATTTCATAAAATTCCTGAACCATAAAACATCGTAATCCATGGTCCTCATCCTGTGATCCAGTATCCTGGCAAATCTGGTGGTTTTTAGTAATTATTCATTCTACACCCTTTTCAGTCTATAAAAAAACATTTGCATGCCTCTTTTAGGGTTAGACGTGTATAACAGGGAAATCTAAGAGACAGAGAGAGCCCAGGGAAATCTGCGAGATAGAGAGAGCCCAGAGAGAAAAACCTTAAGCCATTAAACCCTTGCTTGTAACTTTAGATCCAAGATAACAATTCAACCAAGCCAAGGCTTAGTCAATATTAAAGAGAGATACGGAGGGTTCACGACGAAAATTACAGCCGCGGTCTTAATACGGGCGAGGATCGAGGGCAAGGCCTCAGGTTTGCCGGGCCGACTGGCCCGGCTAGGCATATTTCTATCCCTTCTCTAGTTCTTTATTTCATTTTTTATTAGATCTATGTCTATTTCATCGATTTTACTTTAATATTTCGTGCTTATGATCAACGCTGGCTCTGCCACTAATATGAGAACAGATCTGCTCATTTTTTAGTAGATCTGACCTTAGAACAGAATTCGAATATCCCTACTCTCTATCATTTTTAAAAATAAGTTTGTGGTTCGGATCCGAGGGATCTTCCTTTGAAGATCTCTCTATTGATATGACCTTCAATCAGATTTGAATTGTCTCCACTCTCTATCACTTTTAAAGACAAGTTTGTGGTTCGGATCAGAGGCACCCTCTGATCCGAACCACAAACTTGTCTTTAA